CTCAGCAGGCATAGTGGGCCTATTATGTGACATTTTCCATTTTTCAGAGGAGATGTTTTGCAGAAAGCTGTGAAGATAGCGAACAATTTCCTTCACTGTCGTAGACTACGGTCACTTGTCTGTAAGGATTATATGGAAACCTTGGTCGCAGGTGAGCGTTCCTTCCGTGGTGTGACCCCAAACATCACCCCTTGTCATGCCTTTGCCCCCTATTACGTGACAAGTTCCCATTTTTAGAGGAATGTTTTGTAGAAAGCTGTGAAGGAAGCGAAGAATTTCCTTCACTGTCGTAGACTATGGTCACTTGTCTGTAGGAATTATGTGGAAAACTCGGTCGCAAGTGAGCGTTCCTTCCGTGGTGTGGCCCCAAACATGCCTCCTCGTCATGCCCTTGTGGAATGTTCAGATTTTTTGCATTTCCAGATGAACTCGCAGACCTGAAATGTGCCCCGTTAGCTTCCCCGTGAAAAATGCTATCGAATGATATGCATTACTTCCCCAGTTGAAACTTTGGTTTTTCACCGTTTTCAGCCTTCCCCTATTGCCGGATTGGGCACGATTACTGCCCCAAAATCTCAAAGTTTCATTTTTCGTCGAAACTTTGTCTATTGGGGTAATTCGATGCCCTGATTACGAATATGACATTCATTTTTGATGCTGGTGTCATTTGGCGCCATTTGGCGCCACGGCTGTTTTCACCAAATCTGCTGAAACTTCGTCATTTGGGTTTATTTTTTTTGCCCATTGACCACTCTGCTCCATTGACCACTCTGCTCCATTGACCACTCTGCTCTCACAGCGTGCGGCAGGTTCGCATAGCCGCTCTCTCGGTGGTCCATTCTGAGTGTTATTCTTTTCTTCCTTCCTGAGAACAACTTCTTATTCGACTGTGGTTCGATATTCTCGTACTGTTCGACTGTTTCTGCTTAACATTTGTGAGATCGTCGATTATCGAGTTTGCGAGTACCACAGTGGCAGGGTACGGATCGGAAGTCGATTGCCACCCGGACAGGTCATTTTATTGATTCTTTTTCATCGCGACGTGATCGCTGTTTCCATCGTTTTTTTTTCTGTTTTGCTTCTTGTGGCTGGAAGCTCGTTCGATTTTGTGTCCTTAGCCACCATCCTAGGTGTGATATCAATTATAAGCATGATCAGTGAGACACCTGTTTTTCCTGTAAAAATTCAGGATGGCAATAGGAGGAAAAGGCGTTTGGACCTCTGCTCGCCCACGTCGCCCGATTTCGTGGAAGCTGCGAATGAGCTCACTAAGGACGAGTCTATCCCTCTTTACGTTCGCACTGTATTGGCATTCTTATTGGAAAGTCGACGTGAAATTGATTCAATGTCGAGACAGATCAAAGAACTGAAAGATGAAAACACTGTCCTCCGAAAATCTCTTGATAGTTTCAAATTGTCTTCATCAAGTAATATTGCTTCCTCTCAGAATCCTGCTCCCTCGAACAGTAGTGGTGATGGGGTCAACCAGTCGTTCGAAGAGATCGAGCGTAAGAGATCTGTCATAATCGTAGGTGTTCCGGAGAATCGTGGTCCGAGAAGCTATGATAGGGTGTCCCACGACCGTTTATGTGTTCATCAGCTCTTCGATTTTCTTGCTATTGATTGTACGCCTGTTTCAATTTATAGGATGGGGCGTCCAAGCCCAACATACAACAGACTTCTCAAAGTAGTGCTTCCTAATTCGTTCTTTGCAAGACTTCTTTTGAGGTGTGCGCCTAAGTTGAAGCATTTTCCGCTTAAAAAAGGCGTTTTTATACGGCCCTCCCTATCAAAAGGGGAGCGTGAGCGGATTCGTGCTGAGCGTGAGGCCGAACACAGCAAAAGGACTGGTAGTAAAGATGTCAATGTTAACAGTAGGAATGTTATTTCTCCGAATAACGATCATCTGATGTCATCTCGAGTTATGAGCAGTAATATCGGCTTTATGAATGTTTCATCGAATACTAGTCACTCGGCAGCGAATTCAAACATGTAGCGTTTCCCCGGAATTGTAAAGCTCGTCTAAAGTGCCTTCTTGCTAACATACGTTCGATAACTAGGAATGCTGGTGAGCTCTTATATCGAATTCAGAGTGAGAATTTCGCGGTGATTGCTCTCACGGAGACATGGTTGTCTGACGTCATCAGTAATGAGTCTATTTTTGGAGAATACTGTAACCAATATGAAATACTTAGATGTGATAGGCGCGATAGGCGCGGTGGAGGAGTTGCCATAATCGCGAAGAAGATGCTCTCGCCCCGTATAATATTCAGTGAGTCGGTTGGTGAATCATACGAGCTTTTGTGTGTGGACTTTGACATGGCAGATTCAAGGACCAGAGTTGTCCTAGTTTATAAGGCGCCCTCATGTACGTCCGCTATGTTTGATCAACTTTTGAAAGCGATTGGGGACTTGGTGGAGAGCAGCAGTTTCTTCCTCTTGCTTGGCGATTTCAATCTCCCTGAGATTATGTGGCTTGAGGGATGCAGCCCTAGTGCTCATGGGTCGCGTGCTTCGCGTTTCCTGGAAATGTGTCGAAGTCTGAACCTTAGTCAGCTAGTGAAAGGTGGTACCCATGGCCCCAATATTTTGGACTTGCTCTTAACCAACAACTTGGAGTTTGTCAGGAATGCTCAAATCCTTGCACCCGTTGGTGGGAGTGATCACGCGTCTATCTTTTTTGAGCTCAATATCGAGGTTGATATTAGAACCAATACTATACTCAGAAGAGATTTTAGGAGCGCGAATTTTGAATCTATTTTGAATTATCTCTACAGTGTGGACTGGTACGGGTCTTTTAATAGTGTTGACACAGTCAATGAAAAATACGAGTTATTTCTAGCAATTCTTCATCATACCATTGAGTTGTTTGTGCCCCTCAAACCCTGTAAGGCCACTGATGTTCAGTTGCCTCAGCATATTGTCAGATGGAATCGCAAAAAGAACTTAGCATGGTACAAGGCTGTAGCGAGTGGTAGCCCAAAGGACTGGGACGACTATCGCAATTTGAGAGTTGCCTTCGAGAAAAGGTTGTGGAAGTTTTATAGCCAAATAGAAAGGAAGGTCATTTATACGGGGAGTAAAAATGCTTTTTACAGGTTTGTCAACCTTAGGCTAAAGAAAAGTAAAGGTCTTAGTGTTCTATTTGCTAATGATGGCACAGCTATAATCAAAGACAAGGACAAAGCTGAGCTGCTGGCCAATGTATTCGATAGTGCTTATCAGAAAGTGGACGATTCCTCAGAATTTGTGACTAACCCCTTGTTCCCTGTGATGAGTGATTCCGTATGGTTCGACAGCGGAGAACTACTCAAGTTATTAGTCAGGTGGCCCAAATCAAGGTCTGATACACCTGATCATATCCCACTGGAATTCATCAAAAAGGTAGCGCATGTTATTGCTGGACCGCTCGCGTTTATCTTCAATTTGAGCTTCATGAAAGCTGAGGTACCTGAGAGGTGGCGCACTTCATTTGTTACTCCAATCCCAAAAAAGGCTCCGCATTCTTGCCCGGGTAATTACAGACCAGTAAGTATCACCTCTATTTTTGCAAGATTATTTGAAAAAGTTCTGAAGAAAAGAATAGTGACACATTTGGACAAGTACGAAGTCATTTCTGAGTACCAGCATGGATTTCAAAAGGGCAAATCAACGGTGACAGCCATGCTGCAAGCTCTAAATGACTGGACTACATACCTTGACAACGGCGTAGGCGCAGACGTGGTTTATTTGGACTTTGAGAAGGCGTTTGATAAAGTGTCTCATCAGAAGCTCTTAGCCAAGCTTACCCTCGTCGGTATCCACCCCCGAATTGTGGCATGGGTTAAATCCTTTCTTGCTGATAGGATCCAATTAGTGAGAGTCAATACCGTGTTCTCTGAACCCAGGCGGGTGCTTAGTGGCGTACCACAAGGCGGTGTTCTGTCGCCGGTGTTGTTCAACTTATATACTTTCGAGCTGCCACGCTTATTTATTTCCAAGGGAGTAAAGTGTGTTGCATTCGCTGATGACTTCAAACTGTATTGCCCGATCACATCTAGTTCTGACGGAGATCTCTTGCAGGAAGCCATCACGGAAGCTTCCAAATGGGCCAATCAGTGGGGTTTACCCTTATCCAAAGAGAAAACTAAAGTTTTACGCATAGGGAGACCCACTCTACAGCCCTCATACTCAATCAGTGGGGTACAACTCAAAAGAGTAAACGAAATCAAAGACCTAGGGTTCCTGATTCGAAGTGATCTCAGCTTTGATGAGCACTGTTCAGAGATTGCTCACAAAGCAATGATTTCTTTGTACAACTTATTCAGGGCTTTTTTAACGAAAGATCCTAATGTCCTTTGTAAGGCTTACAAAACATACATCAGGCCTATATTAGAGTACGGATGTGTGGTTTACTACCCGCACAAAAGGAAAAGCATCAAGGCTTTAGAAAGAGTGCAAAACACCTTTACAAGAAAGGTTTTTCTGAGAACAGTCGGATTCAGGTATGACCAGATACCGAATAGTGAAGTGCGCAATGTTAACCTCAATCTTGAGACCTTACATCTTAGAAGGAAAAAATTTGACCTTATAATGCTTTTTAAGTTCATTCACCTCCACTCGGCGCTCAGATCCAACAAACTTTTTCTAATTAGGGAGTCAATCACTAGGGGTGGCTCCATGAAGCTAGTCGCATGCAGAGCAAAGCGTGACGTCAGACGGCATTTCTTCGTGAATAGGACCACCTGGAGTTCAATAGACTGGTTCGTTTGGGAGTAAACACCACCAAACTTAGTTCCTTCAAAACCGCTTTAGACAAGTATCTTGATACTTAGTTCCTCATTTTTTTATTTCACTTTTTTGTGTTGCAGCTTTTGTTCTTTCTACTGTTGTCACTTGTTAATTGAGGATTCCATTTTTTTTCTTTTATATACATATTCTTTACCACACAGGGCAACTGTGTAATAAACAATTACAATTATTTGAGACCCTGGTTACAAAAACGGGACCCGTCTTTAGCGCTGGCGCCTATTTGGCGCCGTTTGGCGCCTAATTTGGCGCCACAGCTGTTTCCACCAAATCCGCTGAAAACGTGTGTATAGGGGTTATTTGGCGTCCTGATCACGAATATAACATCCAGTCTTGACGCCGGCGCCATGTGGTGTCACAAACAACACTTCACAGTCAGAGCGTACTCTTAGGCACCTTTCTCAGAGCGCCGACTGTCAGACCGTGGAAAAGGTCATCGAATCGGAGACTTTCCCACGACAGGAAGGAGCCAGACCGTGGAAAACTGTGAGCTAAGCCAGAAGCATATTTCACGTTTTCACTGGAGATGCCTGTATGCGTTGGGCAGAGCAGCAATTCGACTGTAAGCTCTCCAGCTGCCACTGAGGATGGTAGTACCGTGCTCGATGTACTACTTCATGATGAGCCGCAGTAGAGTTGAAACGTCTTTCCTTCGGACCATCCGAAGGAGTCCACGTACACAGTCCCAGAAATAGGGCAGTGCGAACACCGTGGACTCAGGAAAGTTACAGTTTTCGAAAAAGGAATCCTTTCGGGCATGAACGTAGACCCTGGTCTCGTTCGATGGTCCAGTGCGGCACGCTCGGCCCAAATAACCCCAAATGACGAAGTTTCAGCAGATTTGGTGAAAACAGCTGTAGCGAAAACGGGTGTCGTTTTCGTAATCAGGACCCCAAATAACCCCAAATGACGAAGTTTCAGCAGATTTGGTGAAAACAGCGTGGCGCCAAATTGGCGCCAAACGGCGCCAAATGGCGCCAGCGCTAAAAACGGGTGTCGTTTTCGTAATCAGGACCCCAAATAACCCCAAATGACGAAGTTTCAGCAGATTTGGTGAAAACAGCTGTGGCGCCAAATGGCGCCAGCGCTAAAAACGGGTGTCGTTTTCGTAATCAGGACCCCAAATAACCCCAAATGACGAAGTTTCAGCAGATTTGGTGAAAACAGCGTGTGGCGCCAAATGGCGCCAGCGCTAAAAACGGGTGTCGTTTTCGTAATCAGGACCCCAAATAACCCCAAATGACGAAGTTTCAGCAGATTTGGTGAAAACAGCTGTGGCGCCAAATGGCGCCAGCGCTAAAAACGGGTGTCGTTTTCGTAATCAGGACCCCAAATAACCCCAAATGACGAAGTTTCAGCAGATTTGGTGAAAACAGCCGTGGCGCCAAATTGGCGCCAAATGGCGCCAAATGACACCAGCATCAAAAATGAATGTCATATTCGTAATCAGGGCATCGAATTACCCCAATAGACAAAGTTTCGACGAAAAATGAAACTTTGAGATTTTGGGGCAGTAATCGTGGGATCCGGCAATAGGGGAAGGCTGAAAACGGTGAAAAACCAAAGTTTCAACTGGGGAAGTAATGCATATCATTCGATAGCATTTTTCACGGGGAAGCTAACGGGGCACATTT